ATGCCCTGAATACCACTGGGTGTGGCCCAAAAATGAAACAAAAAAATGGGGCGGGGTGGAGGCTTTGAGGGCTACACCCAGCAGTGTCTGACTCTGCATGCAGGGTGACTCCTAGAAGGGGCTGGGGACCATACGTAGTGCCAGGAATCAGACCCAGGTCAGCCTTACTTGCTATGTAGTCTATGCTGTCTCTAAGTCCCCTTAAAATCATACAGTTTAAGGAACAAAATAGATGAATGTGAATGCTCTTGGTTTCTGCAAAAATTAGTCCCTTTTCAATTTGAGAAATTATACAATTAGGTTTTTGTTTAATTATAGTTTGGGGACCATACTTGGCTTCTCACAACACGTTGCAGAGACATTCCCAAAGGTTCTCAGGGGACCATGTGGTCCTGGGGATCAAACATGGGCCCCTGCATGCGAAGCATAGGCACTAGTCCTTTGAGTTATGTCCCTGGCCCTGGACTCTCATGAGACATATCAATAATGTGGAAAGGAAATGGAAGGGTGATCAGACGGAAGAATTTAGCAAGAGAGGCTGGGACCTGAGCTGCAGAGCTGGAGCACATTCAGGCATAGGCAGGGCCCTGGGCTTCAGCCCTGTACAACATGCTCCCCACTGCCAGGAATGTCTCCCCCAAAACAAAACCAAAATTATAAATTATGTGATAGTGTCAATTTGTAAAACAGCTGTAAGAAGGAGGTGGGAGGGAGAAGACCATATGAAAACTTTTATTTTTTAAGTATAGCTTTTCATTTTTATGGAAAACAATTGTTGTTGTTGTTCTGGGGCCACATCCAGAGTTGCTCAGAGCTTATTACTGGCTCTGCATTCAGGGATCACTCCTGAAGGAACCAGATGGGGTGCCAGGGATCAAACCCGGGTCAGCCATGTATGAGGCAAATGTTCCACCCACTATACTTTCACTCCAGCCCCCATTTTTTTTTCAATTTTTAAATTACTTTTTGTGGTGCCAGAATCCCAGGGCCTCACACATAGACGAATCCCACTCTGAGTTATATTACTGACTTCAAAGTGTCAGTAATATAAAAGTGTATTGCTTTTATCTTGGGGCCACAACTAGTAGTGCTCAGGGATTATTCCTAGTGGTGCTTGGGGGACCATACGAGGTGCTGGGGATCAAACCAGCTTGGCTACATGAAAGACAAGCCCGTAACCCCTGTACTCTTTGGCCCTCTAGTGGTAGATCACTTCAGTGGTGCATAGCGCTTCCCACCCGATGTGGCCCTGGTGCCACCTGTGTACTGCTGGATGTGGCCACAATTAAAAAAGAAAAAATGAGGTGTGTTATCCATGCTGAAACGAGTCAGAAGGAGAGGAACAGTCATAGAATGATTGCACTCATTAGTGGGACATCAAAAAAACCACATGAGACTAACACCCAAGGACAGTAGGACCAGGAGGACTGACTGGTCCACGGTTGGAAGCCGGCCCTCAGGAGCTGGGGGAGAAGGCAACTGGGATAGAGAAGGAACCACTATGGTGATGATAGTTGGAAATAATCTATCTGGGTAAGAACGGTGTGTTGAAAGTAGGTAACAGAACAAACACGATAACCTCTCAGTATCAACCTCTCAGTATCACTATTGCAAACCGTAATTCCCAAAAGGAGGGGGGGAGAGAGAGAGAGAGAGAGAGAGAGAGAGAGAGAGAGAGAGAGAGAGAGAGAGAAAGTGCCTTCCATAGAGGCAGGCTGGGCAGTAGGGATGGGGTTAGGGAAACTGGGGTCACTGGGAACAGGTGTTAGAACATTGTATGACTGAAACCTGAGTGTAAACAGCTTTGTAACTGTTATCTCATGGTGACCCAAATAAAAAAAATTATAATACAAGAAAAAGATGAGGTGCTTTTTGTTTTGGGGTCACACCCCAAAGGGCTCCGGAATTACTCCTGGGGACCATGGAGATAGAACCGGGGTAGCCCTGTGCAAGGAAAACACTGAAACATTGTGCTCATTGTGCCATGGTTCCAGCCCCTAAAATGAAGTTTCTGACATGAGCATCACTGAGAATTTTTCCCAGGGCCAGGGAGAGTGCTAAAGACTGCAGCCCATGTTTTGCATGGAGAAGCCCTGGGTATGAGTCCCTGCACCACGTAGACCCCAGGCATCAACAGGAGTGACCTCCTAGCACTGAGGCAGGGTCGCCTCCAGCACTGCTTGGTATGGCTCAAAACCAACCAAAAGATTCTTTACAGATAGGGTTTTTACATTATACTTATTTTTAATAAATGCACTCTAGGAATGATATCACTTACTTTCCTCAATAGTTTTCTGAGTGGATGTCAAGCGAGTTATGGTCTCTGGGAAATCATCTTTCGCTGTCTAATGTCATCCAGTCTGGGTTGTGTCTTTGTGCTTCTATAGTAAATTCTACGAATTGGCCTATTACGGTGTTAAATCCCAACAGTTAAAACAGTCTCCAGTTAAGATATTGAAGGAAATAAATGAATGGGGTTCTAGTACTAGAAAAATTTTGCAGTAATACTATTGGTCTTATTTCAAGAATAAATTAGAAGTGTTAGAAAGGACTAAGGACTCTGTATCATTCATTAAATGTAAATGCTTTTGCTTTGTTTTGGGGTTACACCAGCAGTGCTCAGGACTTACTCCTGGCTCTGTGCTCAGGAATCATTTCTGATGGGCTCAGAGGACTATATGAAATGCTAGGGGTTGAACTGTGTGCTGTGCGCAAGGCAAGCGCCCTACTTACTGTACTCTCACTCCTGTCCCTAAATGTAAAGTCTCAAAGCTAATATCTAGAATCAAAGTAGACAAAACACACATTAAATAAAATTTATAACATTTATTTAGGCAAAAAAAATCCAAAACAAAAATCTGTACACACAAAACCTAAGCGATGTTTTGATTTTTAAAAATATAACATGATTCATATACAGAATACTCCCATTCAGCTGACCACAATGAAAACAATGCCTTCAGTCCAGATAACTGAGAGCCTTTGAAAAACTTATGCACATTAACTTTCTAATAAGTTTTTCAAATCATTTGAATGGAGTTAAACCATTCCATCCGAAATCAAGCAAAAGATAGTTTTTCTCACACTTATAAATCATTGGAACTTCTACAAAAATCAGGGATTTAAAATTTTTATTCTTGAGGATTATCTGAGATTATAACGCTTGACATAACATTTGTTGTGTTGTTTTTTTTTTGCAGTGCCAAAGACTCACACATGTAAGGCAAGTGCTCTACTGCTAAGCTACTCCCCAGTGACCTAATATCTGCTTGTGAAAGGGAGAAATGATCTCAGGATTTTCCTACTTTGATGAAATTCTGTCTCAGCTTTCACTAGCTTCTAAGTCAATTAAAATAAAAGAACCCAATTTGAACATTTTTTTCTCGAAGTCCAAAATTAAGTACATACAATAATCAACTAGATTTATAATTTCCCACCAAAAAATGATAAATTTGTATTTTCTATATATTTTAATCGTCATTCTGTCTAGCTATAAAGTTAGGTTGTGCTGTTCAAAAGAGCTTTGCTACATTCAGAGAACTGAGAAACAGTATTAACCTTCCCATAATTTACCTCCCAAAATGAGGAAAGAAAAATTTTTGACTACCAATCCGTTAACAGAGCATCTTAAGATTTAGAAATCAAAGAATGTACAATTAGGAGTGTACCATGTCATGCAAAGACTATGAATACTAAAAGAGATAAAGTAATTATTCATAAAACACATTCAGCAAATATTCCTATAACTATTCTCATCACTGGATGAAGGCTGGATTTGCAGTATTCCTAAAAGTTCTTGAGTTAACACTAAAAATTTGAAGTGTGTCAATACAAAGCAAGTGGTAAAATTAAAATTAAAATTCCAATATCCACACAATCATCTGAACCTGCCACAATGTAGCTGAGAGGGAAACCTCTCTGTAAGCTGTCTCAGAACACTAGTCAAGTGTTGCTTAATAATGGGGATAAGTTCTGAGAAATGCATCATGAGGCAGTTTTGTTGTGTGAACATTAAAGAGTGTACTTACATGAACCTAGATGATATAGTCTACTACACACTTAGGCTAGAGAAAGAGGGACTATGATCATTAAGTGGTCTATCATTGATCAAATATAGTTACAGAACTTACTCTGAAGTTCTAGCCATAGAAAGCCCCCAAATAACATATATATAAAAAATTTGTTCACATCAAATCACAGTTTTATGATACTGCTTTTAAATTACACTTTCAGTTTAATAATACTGTTTACCCCAAAGAAAAGTTGCACAAGGCTGGGGATGTAGTCAGTGGCAGAGCCCATGCTTCGAGTTGCATGAAGCCCTGGATTGGATTTCCAACACACACACACACACACACACACACACACACACACACACACTTGCACAATAACCAACTAATGTAAACATACCATGAGAGGGTAAGAAAGAAGTAGGTTTAAACAAATAAAACAATGAATTTGTTTTCCTTGCTATTCAGCCCTGGGCACGGCAGCATATTGTTCTACAGAACACTAAGCCAAAATAGTTTTTAAAAAATTTATTTAAAGAAATGTGAGGAGAGAGAGAGAGAGAGAGAGAGAGAGAGAGAGAGAGAGAGAGAGAGAGAAGAGATAGAGAGCTACATGTTCAAGAGAGAACATGGGCTTCTCCAGAGGGAACAAAACCTTTAATGTGCCCTACTTGATCATACAAATGTATTTCCATAAAATGTTCTCCAGTATTCACAGAAAGCTCAGTGGGTCCTGAGAGCATACTTCTGCATGCCAAAGACCTGGTTTGACCCCTGGCACCTCATGGTCTTCCAAGCACTGAGCCAGGAGTAGCCTGCAAGGATCAAAAGGTATGGCCCGAAATAGTAAGTAAAGTAAGTAAAGGCCCTCCTGTTGATCATCGATTTGCTCGAGCGGGCCCAGTAACGTCTCCATTGGAGACTTTGTTGTTACTGTGTCTGGCATATCGAATACTCTCGGTAGCTTGCCGGGCTCTCCGAGGCCCGAAATAAAATAAAAATATAATGAAATTGGTACGATGGTTAAGAAAAAGGTCAACATGGAAAGTTCCATTAGTGGCACTCCATTCTGGAGTTGCTCGCAGGCAGCTTGAGGTGTGTGATTTTTCTTCCTTTTATTTATGGAACTCTTTCTCTCCTCTCTCATATTTCCTTCATAAAACTCTTTAGGTCACTTAAAAAATAAAAGTCCCATTAGTCAGAGCAATTTTTAGGCTGGATATTGAGGGCTGATGTTTCTAAATATGGATCTTTGTGGGCCAAAAACAGTTCAGTGGTCTGGGCCACATACTTTGCATGCAGCACGCTCAGGGGCTGATCTCCAATACTGCATGTTTCCCTGAGCACTGCAAGAGTGATCCTGGGCAAAGAGCCAAGAACAGATCCTGAGCATGGCCTATGTGGCCCAAAAGCCAAAACAAACAAACAATCTTCTATACTTCGGAAGTTTAGATTTTAAAAAAATCATAAAATTAGATTTCCATAGCAGCCTTGGGGTGACTTATGTGCACCTATGGTAATTCACTCAAACTGACTAGTGTCACTGAATGGCATTTCTGTCCAGGGGTAAGGAGCCGCAATATTTAAGATCAAATTTTGGAACTGAGTCATATAGGGATTTTTTTTTTTTTTTGCTTTTTGGGCCACACCCGGCAATGCACAGAGGTTACTCCTGGCTCTGTGCTCAGGAATTACCCCTGGCGGTGCTCAGGGGACCATATGGGATGCTGGGAATCGAACCTGGGTTGGCCGCGTGCAAGGCAAACGCCCCACCCGCTGTGCTATTGCTCCAGCCCCACATAGGGTTTTATATCTTCCACTAAGATGGTCCTAGGCTAGAGGGCAAATTAATCATTTCTTACAACTTAAGTTTGTTTTTTTTTTTAAAGTAATTGCTTTGTTTTTGTTTTTGGGATCACACCCAGCAAGGCTCAGGGGTTACTCCTGGCTCTGCACTCAGGAATTATTCCTGGCATGCTTGGGGGACCATATGGGACACCGGGGATCAAACCTGCGTTGGCTGCATGCAAGGAAAGAGCCCTAAATGCCGTACCATCACTCCAGCACAACCCCCCCACCCAAAAGTAATTGCTTACAGGGTATAAAAACCACATCAAAATTTATTTCATGGAAAGAATAAGGAGGTTTAATTATTTTGCTTTAATTTCAAACTGTTCTTATTTCACTAAATTATGAAAATTATCACAATCTAAAATCTCTATTCCTTTTCCTTCAATAAATGTAAATCTTGCCATTGCCTCCGAACAAATAAAATAATATTTTACAATGTCTGCACACACCAATAACTTGAGTAGTAAGTGGTTTAACCTAAATTACACTTCAAACAGCACCTCTAAAGCCACTGAAGAGGATACCTGTAAAGGCACCAAGTAGTGTTATATTCTAGAATACAAACACAAAAGAGAGGCCTAATTATTATTTTTTAATATGGAATGCATCACGAATCTGTGTGTCATCCTTGCAGAGACCATCTTAATCTTGTTTTGTTCCAATTTTAGTATATGTGCTGCAAAACAGCACCTAATTGGTTCTCCTTTTTTTTTTTTTTTTGAGGGGTGAGGAAGTTTGGGTCACAACTAGCTGGGTTCAGAGTGACTCCAGGCGGGATCAAGGGAACTATATATGGCAATGGGAACGACCCCAGAGCAAGCATCTCAGAGCAAGCACCTCAAGCCACTGTTCAACCTCTCTGGCCTGCTGATTGATTCTCTTTTGTTTTTTTAGGCCACACCCAGTAGTGCTCAGGGATCACTTCTGATGGGCTTGGGTAACCAAATGGAATGCCAAAGATCAAACCTGGCCCAGCCACATGCAAGGCAAATGCCCTTACCCACTGTACTATAATTTCTGTGTCCTGTAATTGATTTTTATACAGAGATCGGCCAATTAAGCCTCATAATAAAATCTTTCTTTTTCCTTTTTCTTTTTGTGGTGCTAGGGTTAGAATACTGAGCCTCACACATGCAAGAAAAGCATTCAACTGCTGAGCTGCATCCCAGCCATTATTTGCTTTTATGACTGAGAAATATATGGCCATTATCAATGTTCCAAGTAGTAGATTTAATTTTAATCTAAAATATTTTAAAATTTAACTTAAATATTTTAAAATCCTCCATCAACATAACTCTGAGTAATGAAGGAATTTATTATTATCTATGCATTTTGAGTTATTTCTGAAAATAATCTGTAAAGACAAAAACCTAGGATTAGTCGACATAAACTTTTGTCTCAAACAAGATAAAACAGAAGCTTGAAGCTAAATTTCTCAAATTGTTTTCTCTTCTACAACGTAAGTTGGAGATGAGAAAATTAGGGGTGAAAAGATTGTAGAGTGGGTAGGGTATTGCATGTCGCTGACCAACTTCCCATCCCCAGCATCCCATATGATTCCCTGAGCACCTCCAGGAGTAATTCCTGAAGGCAGAGCTAGGAGTAACCCCTGAGCATTGCTGGGTATGGCCCAAAACAAAACAAAAAGAAAATGGTCAGCACAACTAGGAACTTCCAAGCTATCATATTCTATTTTCTACATTTGTCCTAGATGTTAAAATTCAAGAAAAAAGGGGCAGGAAGATAACTCAATGGGCTAAGCACATACTCTGCATGCAGGGGAGCCTGGGTTTGATCTCGTTACTGCCAGGTATGGCCTACGTGTAAAACAAAGAGAAAAAAAAAATTAGAGAAAAATGGGGAAAATTCAAATGGATTTTTCCTTTCCTTTGAGATGACCTTTCTCTGTGAGAATTTATATTTCACCTATAAAAAATTATAAAATTGGGGCCATGGAAGGGGTTAGAGAACAAGCTCTGCATGTGGGAGGCCACATTTGATGCCCAATATCACCTAGAGCAACCTTGAGCACTGGGCCTAGAACAGCTCGTGAGCAATGTGTTGGGTGTGACCCAAAAAACAAAAACTTTTTTCCTAAAAGATTTAAATCAGAATTGGCATACAATATCATATGTTCTTCAATGGTTCTAAATATGTTTCCTTTTAGTTAATGTTTTCATACCTGGAAAAGGGCTCCAAATAATTCAAATCTGATTATCATAATAGTGGCATGAAAATTTTATGTCAAAAATGTTATCAATAAACTAATGTACCAGGTTCTTTCACAATTCAATTGTGACAATTCAATTATTTAAACATACCATTCAATTATTCAATTATTTAAACATACCATTTAAAATCTCTATTGGAAACATGTTGGCTGCTTATGAAAAAAAGTCATCTGATATTAGTGATTAAATTTGTAACTAAATTTTATTTTATTTAATTTTATTTTTTTGCTTTTTGGGTCACACCTAGTGATGCACAGGGGTTACTCCTGGCTCTGCACTCAGGAGTTACTCCTGGCGGTGCTCAGGGGACCATATGGGATGCTGGGAATCGAACCCAGGTCGGCCGCGTGCAAGGCAAACGCCCTACCCGCTGTGCTATTGCTCCAGCCCCAAAACTTGTAACTAAATTTTAAAATGAAAATTTCGTTTTTAGGTGACTTGCTGCCTCCAACTGCCAAAACTGATAGAATGGTCAATATTCTTTACACTCCACCCCTTTTGGAGAGCCCGGCAAGCTACCGAGAGTATCTCGCCCGCATGGCAAAGCCTGGCAAGCTACCCGTGACGTATTCGATATGCCAAACACAGTAACCAGTCTCACAATGTTACTGGGCCCGCTGGAGCAAATCGATGAACAACAGGAGGACAGTGATAGTATAACAGGTATCCTAAATAAAAGGCAATTATCTACAAAATAACCCATCAAAAATATTTCCTTTTATGCAATCAGTCATTTACATTTAACAATAGTCTAATTCAGGTCTTTCATTTTTGGCAGTGAAATGTTGACATATTTGTACAATATGAAAATATTACGGTACATTTATTTTAGGACCAAAAAAATTAACTTCCGGTGGCAAAATTCACTATTGCTAATTGGTAACACCATGAATAGTGCCTTTACAATTGATGAAAAAATGACTCTGAAATGGAGGGAAAAGAATGGTTCATTTTAACAATACAATTTTTTAAAACTTCACATTTTCACAACAATATAACACAGAATGCTATACTATTTTACACTGTGATGCCTGGAGTACTTCTAGAGAGTCACCAGCATCTGTGTAGGAAGCAGTATCCCTTGCTGAACAAGTATGAACAATTCATTGCTCACTGTCTCAAAGAGGTGGGCTCCAGGTGGCTAACTAGCACGTCCCCATTTAAAAATCATAACACGAAAGTAACCTCCCAGTTCTCAATTCTGTTCTCCATGAATATGTCTTCTTTCCAAGGTCTTTTTCTGTGAACCGTTTAGGTTCTAGCCAGAGAGTAGCTTTCATAAGCAGAGAACTCAGATTTTCATTCTTGCCGACCAAGAAGAACATCTTGTAAAAGATTCAGACTGGGAATAAAGGCATTCTATACAGAAGGGGTATGAAATTCACACCTGAAGCAATACTAGAAATCAGGTCAACTAACAGCTTATCTGGAGCTACAAACTGACTGGAATGAACTTTGAGATCAGAAAAGTCTGGCCTAAGAGTTTACAATGAAACGATAGAATTTCAAGCACAGGTAATCTCAAATACTGAAACATCTGAAACTTTTCCTAAAAGGCAATGATGAAGGAAGAAACCCATCTTGCCTTTTATGTTAAAAATCACGAGACAAATTAGAGACTGTTTTGCATGGACGTTACTGGACATCAGCAATTCCAATCAGATCTTTTAAGTCTTGTTAAAGTAACACTCCAAACTTCACGCAGGGCAAGATAGTCCAAAGAAACCTATCACAAAAGGGATGCCTGCAATTTGATCATCCGGCTTCCTAGTGTTATCAATTTAGTCTGGCTTGGGACTGCTTTTTAGAGGGAGGTGGTCTTCCATGGCGCACGATGTGTTTCTCCAAGCTATCCAGGATGGCCACTGCAATCTGCTGGACATGGGGATCAGTCTCTTTGTGTTCTTTGATGCTGTATAAATGCTGTAATCCTCCTTCCTCGATCAGCATGCTGCAATATCTTGAGGCTAAAAGAAAGCCGGAAAAAGAGCTTTTAAAAAAATAAAGACAAAACACTAAAATTTCTCTCAGAGCTGAAGAGATGGTGTGGTGGGCAGGGTGCCTGACTTGTACACATTCAAGTCACCTTGTGGCCCCCCCTCTGGTCCCCCGAACATTGCCAGGAATGATTCCTGAGCACACAGCCGGGAGTAAGCCCTGAGCACCACCAAGTTTGGCCCAAAACCAAAAAAGTTTTTAAAGATATTTAAATTTGGGGTTTTACTTCTAAACCTGTGTTCTCATTTGAGCACATATCTTTCTCTCTTCTTCTTTTTCCCCCTGGGAAAGCCTGTGTTCTCTCTTGACATGTCACTGTCTCTCATCTCTCTCTCTCTCTCTCTCACATACACACACCTCGCTTTTCTCTAAATTTCTTCCAGTAGGGTCAGAGAAATAGTACAGTGGGAAGGGTATTTGCCTTGCACACAGTTGACCCAGGTTTGATCTGTGAGCACCAACAGGAGTAATTCCTGAGTGCAGAGCCAGAAGCAATCCCTGAACACTGGTGGGTGTAACCCCAAAACAATATTCTTTCAATTAAAAACGACTTTGTTCACTAAAAAAGTAAAATAAATATTTTATTTGGCACCTAAGAGACAGCACGAAGGTTAAGGTACTTGCTTAGCATGCAGCTGCAGGCATGAACAAAGTTTGAATCCTGGCATCACATACAGCCCCACCCAGAACTTAGCCAGAAGTGATCCCTGGGCACAGAGCCACGTCCTGCCCCTGAGTACCACCAAGTATCACTCAAACACCCCAACCCCCCACCCCATTCCCAACACAAAAACCATTTTTTCATTTGCCTTTATGTTTCGGTTTTTGGCTCATACTCAGCAGTGCTCAGGGCTTACTCCTGGCTCTGTACTCAGGAATTACTCCTGGAGGGCTCAGGGGACCAAAGTGGGTACCACGGATCAAATCCGTGGTTGGCCACATGTATAACAGGTTGGCCACATGTATAAAAGGTGCCTTACCTGCTGTATTATCTTTTTTTAGGCCAGAGAGATACTCTAAGGGTTAGGTTGCCTTACATGGGACTGACCCTTGCTAGATTTCTGACAGGACAAAGGTCTCTTGTGCACTTCCCATAATGACTCCTGAGTACAGAACCAAGAATGAGTCCTGAGCACCTCCACACAATTTTTTTGGTGACTTTCATTATTTATTGTTATTTGTGGGCCAAATGTGGCAATGCTTACATGTTGCATGGCCCACCAGTATTCCTCAGTAGGTGTTAGTTGCTCCTGGAGCTTATCAGGAGACCATGCAAGAGATTGCCTTCACAGGCATTCTAGCACACTGAGCTATAGTCTTGGGCCCACAAAGGTTTTATAAGTTTTATCCATTTATTAAGGCATACTTTATAATAATAAGATAATAAAACATAAGCTCAGAGGCACACAATTAAATCTGCAGTTTAATGAATTTTGCCCAAGATATGTATCTGTAAAACCGTAATTAGGACAAACTAATTTAACAACTGCAATTAGGATAAAGAGTATTTCAACTACTAAAATCTTCCTTGCTGACCAGAGAGAGCTCAATGTGCTGAGTGCATGCTTGGCATGCAAGAGGCCTGGTTGGATCCACAACACCAGATGGTCCCCCAAGCAGCACCAAAAGTGACTCCTGAGCATGGCCAGTACGGCCCAAAGCCCAAAACCAAACAAATAAATAAACAGGAGAAATATTCTAACATTTCTCAAATTATAATGCATTTCAGTATAAATTCTTCATGGTGAACATTCTATCCAATAAACTTGGAGAAAACCAACGCCTAAAAGCAATCACAAATAAGGGCACATATGTAAAAGTTATTCTTATGGTGCTTTATTTTCATTCCTTTTGGGGGGCGGGTTTTAGGGTCACACTGAGTGGTGCTCAGAGGCTGCTCCTTGCTCAGTGCACGGTGGTTACTTCCAGCGGTGCTCCAGAGACCATGTGCTGCCAGGACTAAACCCAGGCCTAAGCATGCAAAGTATGCACCTAACCCATGGAACTCTCTCTCTCTGGTGCTCTGGGCCCCCAAGCCCACCAAGACTTAATGTTAGAAGGTGTCAGATAGACTCATTCACAAGGTCTTTGCTCACAACTGGACTCACCATAGAACTCCTAATTTTTAAATTATGACGTTAAAGATTTAAGTTCCATTCACACTATTATATACTACTACTGCTAAGTTCATTCTGAAAGAATAATTTGGTTTGTAACATAAAATTCTTAATTTTAAAAGTCTGTTTCATAAAAACTACTTCAATAAACAATGGAGAAATAATTTTCTCATGTACAGAGAGAACTTGGAAAACTTGGAAAACAACATAGTTCTCTTTTTGGTACATACGATTCTTGCTGCAGACATGTTGCATGGCCCAAACTGCCCACAGCTGAACTCCTGGTGTGGTGAAACATCCAAGTAATGGGAAAAACGGATTAAAAGACCTAAAAGGTAAAAAGAATAATATTTACAGCATATATTTAGCACGATTTTCTAGATCAATGATTCCTAAGCATTTCATTCTAGAAATTTCTTCTTCTCTTTTATTTTGGTGGGGGTGGGCTTTTAGGCTACATTTGATAGCACTCAGGGTGACTCGATTGTTGCAGACCACATGGTGCCAGGGATTGAACCTGTGTCACCTGCATGCAAAGCATACACTTAGCCCATGAAGTGATCTCTCCAGCCCCATATTAGAAATTTCATCCTCCTACTCAGGGCTTGCTCCTGTCTCTGTGCTCAAGGTTCACTCCTGTGAGACTTGGAGGTTCATATGGAGTGCTAGGGGTTGAACTCAGGTTGGCTATATGCAAGGCAAATGCCTCACTATACTATCTCTCTGACACTGGGGTTACTTCTGTCTGGCTCGGCACTTAGGAATCACTCCTTGCAGGGTTGGAGGACCATATAGGATACTGGGGATGGAACCCAGGTTGGCTGCATGCAAGACAAGCATTCTACCTGCTGTACTATCAATCCGGTCCCTACATTTTATTTACTTAATTAATAAAATTTATTATATTTCAGGCAGAGAGATAGTACAGCTGATAGGGTGCTTGCCTAGCATGTGCCCACCCTCGGTTTGATCCTCTGTGCCACATATTGTCCCCTTAGCCCCAGAAGAAGTGATCCCTGAGCTCAGAACTAGGAGTAAGCTTTGAGTACAGTCAGGGTTTTGGCTCAAAAACAAATGAAATTTATTAAACTTAAGTAACATTCATAAAATAATTTTTTTGGTATTTGTGCAGCAATCTGGAATACCACCAGTAATTCACAATTCTGCTATCAAGTCACTTCACTGACATAAATAGGAACTCAGCAAGCACTTTGATGAATTTTTACAAAATATTTCTCTAAGCTAATTTGGTGTTACTCCAGCCTACTCAACACTTAACCTGTTTCAGACCTTTAATATATCCACTGTTTCCTCTTCCTGAAATCCTCTGCATCTAATTATATCTCAAAATTCAGCTTAAACCCTACTTCTAGAAATCTTTTACCCTTTTCCAGGAAACTTAAAACACTCTCGTCTTTAATTTCATAGCATTCATAGCATTATAGCATATTAGTGAATTAAATCTGACTCATATTTGGTCTCCATAACTCTGACTTAAGATTTCCGAGATGGGGGGGGAGTTGAGGGGGGAAGTGGAGGAAGGGAGGGGAGGTTGAGCTATACCCAGAGGTGCTCAGGGCTTACTCCTGCTTCTCCTGATGGTACATGGGGGACCATATGCAGTGTTGGGGGTTGAACTGGGGTTGGACACATGCAAGACAAGTGCCTAACCCCTGTACTCTCTCTGCTACCTCAAGATAAGATTCTCGTATGTCAACACAATGTCTGACAAAATGTCTGACTCATTTTTTCATTCTCCAAACAGAATAAGGCCCTGGCTGAAAAGCATCTCTCTCATCCCCCTCCTCTCTCCCTCCCTCCTCTCTCTTCTTTCTTTCTTTCTTTCTTTCTTTCTTTCTTTCTTTCTTTCTTTCTTTCTTCTTTTCTTTCTTTCTTTCTTTCTTTCTTTCTTTCTTTCTTTCTTTCTTTCTTTCTTTCTTTCTTTCCTCTCTCTCCCTCTTTCCTTTCTTTCTTCCTCTTTCTTTCTCGTCCCACTCCCTCTCTCCCTCTCCTCCTCCACCCCTCCTCTCTCTGTGGGTATCTCTCATAAGCCTGTGCTCTACCACTGAACAACATTATCACCAGTTCGTATTTTCTACTTTTTCTTTGTGCCACACCCAGCGGTGTTCAAGGGCTATTAAGAGGACATGTACCATGGTCCAAACGCTGAGAGTTTTTAAACCAACCATTCAAACCACTGAGCTATCGTTCTCACCTGACTTTTCCTTTAAAACAAGTATGAGGAAGAGTCAGAGGTATAATACTGCTGATAAGGTGCCTGCCTTGCACGGTGAACCTGGCTTTGATCCCTAGCACCATATAAAGTCCCTCAAGCCCCACCAAGAGTGACCCTGGAATACAAAGCTAGAAGTACCATTGGGGTGTGGTCCAAATCTCCCCACTCCTGTCCCCCCATGACATAAAGCTAGTATGAAGGAAAGACAAGAACTGGGGACATCAGTGAAGGGACTCTGGAGTTGAGTGAGGTACAGTATCACTGTACATAAAACATTAATACTATTGGAAATCCTACCTTAATAAATGTCTGAGGGAAAAATTATACATGTAATAGGAATAATCTCCAAACAAATAAAGTTACTAGATGAAAAGTAACTATCATGTTAATTACCTGTATGCTACCATTTCACACTCTGGAGTTGGCCATTTCAAAATAGCTGAATGCTGGAAGACAAACATAACAGAGAGAATTATCCTCTGTATTTAACATTACTGCACTACCGGGTTTTGACCATTTCCCACTCTAAGTGTTATTTATCTACTTTCAGAAAACAACAAATGGCCCTACCAGATCATCCAGAAGAGAATTCCTCTGGCTACGACTTAATGTCCACGCTTGTTCACCCCTAGATATTAGATGGGCAATAATTCCTGCTGCAAAATAACTGACTTCCACTTCAACACTGTGTAGGAGGCTACTGATATGGTCTATAAAATCCTTCCACATTAATTCTGAATGTAGTTCTTGGACTTCTGCTATATTATTCTGGAAAAAAAAGAAAAGATATAAAAATATTAGTACGTAATATGAATGGCCAAATGGCTCTGTTAATTCTCTTTTGTTTTGGCCACACTAAGCAGTGCCGGGGAGCTACTCTCACCCTTGCTTGGGGGTCACTTCCAGTTCTGTATAGAGAACCATATGGTGCCAGGAATTGAACCAGGGTCAGCCACTTGCAAGGCAAGTGCCTTAACTCTGTGTTTTCCCCATACCCTGCTCCTGTGAATTCTAAGAACAGAGACTTGAACATATATCTGCACCAAAGATTTTTCTTTTTGTTTCTCCCCAAACTAGATAATCAAGAAAACAGTGGCAGGTTCTTTTCTGAAAGATACTACAACAAACTAAAAAGCGTTTTCATGGCAAAAGGAAATTAAGCTAAAATAAAGGCTACAAAGTCAACACATAAAAATCAGTCACCTGGCTATATTCAAATAATAAACTCAAAGAGAAATTGGTCCAAAAAATCTACTCCATTCAAAGCAGTGTTCAAAAACATCAAGTATTTTAGTAATCAACAAAAACTGATCACATCTGTTTCGCACATTATTGGGATTAAGGCTTAGTTGCCCAGGGCCTGTGGCACCTGAACATGGTTCCCCTTGGGGACTGGTCTCCCAATAGAAAGACAAGAGTAAGCTTTGAACACCAACCAGGTGGGACCCAAGGTACAGCGCCCCCCAAAGATGCATATGTATTTTCAACCTCTTAGGAATTGACACCTCTCTCCCTCTGTAGTTCAAAGACCAACGTATTGTTATTACAAAGCTTTTTTTCACCTAGTTGGACTGAATGTGTTTTATTATTTACAAATATAGTAGCAACTCACTTCTTCCTTACTTCCCTCCTTCCTCTCTCCATCCCTCCTTTATGGGAGCTTTTGCAACTATTAACCTAGGCAGAAAGTAATTACAACTTAGAATTTAGCAGGAAAAGTTTGCATCTTACCAAAAGTCCTAGGACTTTCTGTTGAATGGATGACTCAGTTGGGAAAGACTGTTAAAAAAAAAAATTATAATTACTGAAAGAACCAAATATAATATGTGACCAAATCAATTAATCAATGTAAAAATTGCATGCTAAATTCCCATTCTAACCTCCAGAACCCTCATGAAGAGTTCTAACCCTTGGTTTTCAATAAAGTGTCTGCAAGTGGTTGGAGATTCATCTGTGAGGTTCCAAAGTGCACTCAAAGTAAACTTCAAAGTAGTGTCCACCGAATTCTGATTGGTTTTTTGTTTTACTATTTGAAGAAGTTGCTGAAAAAAAAACCAAATTAATTTCTGATTAAATTGTTATTATAAATAGTGGCGAAAATAATCTAGTATTGCTCTCAAGTTTAAAAATATTTCTTATAAATGTTTTAAACTGTTAAAGCCTATTCGTTCAGACTTAACCTTCAGTAAATAAAAAGGATAGAGGTGGAGAGATAGTACAGCAGGTAGTAAAGCTTGCCTTGCATGCAGTCAATCCAGGTTAGGTCCCTGGCACTCATCTTGCTCCTAATATTTTCTCAGGAATGATCCCTCAGCAGAGAGCCAGGAGTAAGCCCTGGGTACCACCACACATGGTTCCCCAAGCATTCCCAGGGGTCACTCCTGAGTAATACTCTGTTCGGTATCCCCAAAGTATAGAATATTCTATACTACTCTAATTATACCTATAGTCCAATAATCTGTCTATCAAATAGAAAGCAAAATTATTAAGACAGGGTCAACCATCTTATTCAGTTGGTTACAACATATCTTTATTACAAGGGTCAGAAGAGATAGCTCAATGGACAGGAACACGCACAGCATGCAAGAGGCCCAGGTTCAATTCTCTACCACCACATGATCCCCAGGGCACCATAAAGAGTGAAACCCAAACACAGAGCTTGGAACTTCCCCTGAGCATGATCAGGAGTGCTATCATAAAATTATGTACCTAGAGAAATTATGTACCTAGAACTGAGATGTAAGTGACCACAGAGGGTAATTTGTCATAAAGGAAAGGGGGAAGCTGCCTGAAAACATTTTACTACTATGAATGCTACCGACTAGTTTCATTAAAATCACACACTTACTCTGACAATGAAGAGTTCTGCACCAAGCTGTGCTGTCTGTTCTGTAGAAAGCTGTAAGCAAGCAGAAAGTGAAAGTAAATGTCCCAGAGGTCACTAGTGAAGTACACCCAATGTAACTGATTTCAAAGGTCAGATTAAAATCTCTGATCTGGAAATTCTGTAAAACAGAATGCAGCCTGAATAAACAGGCTTGCTGAAAGGCTTGCTACTTTCACAACAAACTGATTTGAGGGTAAACCGTAACTACAAGAGAAACAGCTGTCCACAGGAAGATCCTTGACAAAGGTTAAGGTACCTTAGCAGCCAGGATGGAAATAATAGCAACTGCCATTCTTTGCATGTTTTGATCTTCATGGTTGCAAAGCCACTGCATGACAAGCTTGGCTGCTTCAAACCTGTAAGCACAGAAGGTTTCATGAATTCATCCTGGAGTCCCCAGCACGATTTGGGAACTGATGCTTTAAATTAGAAAGACCACAAGGAAAGGGAAAATTCCCGAGACAGAAAATAACACTCACGCTTAGTGTTTCAGGATAGTGCCTTTGTGTGGACTGCTTTACTCCTTAGACAGCTACATAGCTAACTCTTCCTCCACCGGCCCACATTATGCATTCTGCCTCATTCTAAATTCTGACAACATTTTGTAAGGAAATTAGAGACTGGAAAATATGGTCAAACTTCTGGTATTTCATCAAGAACAATTTCTATTCTGCAGCGATTTTTTTTTCTTTTCCCCCCCAGTGTTGGGAATCTAACGCAGGGCTTTACACATGCAAGGCAAGTGCTCTATTGCTGGGCATTTCTATACTTAAATTTAATTATTTTCTAGGTACTTAGCAGTACAATGAGACCATTCGTTCACATACATTCATGCTTTATTTTTATAGAACGCTTATTCTCAATGCATTCACAGTGTTAGCATTTTAAAAGTGTTCATCATTTCTACCCACATTATCTCAGTAAACCAAAATAAGCACTTTTATCATAGATGTAGTTCAAAGATTAATAACAATCTCTTTTAAAAAAACTAAACTTAATAAACAAAAAGAATAAAATTTCCTCAACATGTATACGTTTTTGTTTTGTTTTTTTATGTAGGACTACTGCTATTTATTCAGCCACTGATTAGCTGATTGAATTGTGCATGAACTCCATAACATATATACATGTTTTATATGTTGCTTTTTCTTTTTGGGTGGCGAAAGACTCTATACCCTCCTGTGCCTAGGGTTTACTCCTAGCTCTGCACTTGGAGATAATTCCTGGAAAGACTCAGGCAACTATATGAGTTGCCGAGTATCAAACCCAGGTTGGCCGCATATAAAACCAGTGTCCTACAAAATGTACTATCACTTTGGTCGCATTTATATATTAATTGAAAACCTATCTTGTGCCAGACACTGTTCCTGCAGTTAGAGATAGTGCAGCAAACAGGAAAAAAAAATCTTGTGAATTTAAATATATATCAGCATAAATTATCTAAATTTCTATTTAAAATGCTTATATACTTGTTTTTAAAAGATATACAATTTTAGGGAAAGAATTGTTTTAACAACTTTCAAAAAACAAAACCCCAAATCTCTCTACTATCATAGAGCTTATTATGATAGTAGAAGGCAGACTGAAAAGCAGATTAAGTAAAATATATGGTATAGTTAGGAACTAACATATACTGTGGAATTGGGAGAAGTAGGGCAAGAGACGAGAGAGATCACTGAAACTGTATGTAGGTTTGCCAAGAGAGGACTTGCAATTGGAGGGAAAGTCAGCCACGTGGCTCTCTGAGGCATAAGGCATTGCACAAAAAGGGAACAGGAAACAAGGTGACTCTGAAGTGGGAAAATGTCTGGAGGAAGTTTCAGGGGTTTTTGCTTTTAAATAAATTTCACAGCAGCATTAATGTTATTCAGTTCAATTCATCCTGTCACTCCATTCCCCCCCCCCTGGTAATCTTATTCTCTTGTCAGAGTGCAAGAATTTGTCCTCATTCACTATTGTACATTTCCTTTCTGTTTCTTTATATACCACACAGAAGTCAGGTCACTTAGCATTTGTCCTTCTCCTTTGACCTCTGTCCACTTAACACAACGCCTTCTAGGAGGTTTTGATGAAGAGCAGGGGAGCTAGCTTGTAGAGTTAGTAAAGAGTGAGTTTTTAGGGGCTGAAGAAATGGTACAGGGATTAAGGTGCTTGTCTTGTATGCAGCCAACTATGTTTCAATCCCTGAAACTACTTGATGCCTGGAGCACAGAGCCCAAAATAGTTCCTGAGCACTGCTGTTCTCACCCCCACCCCCACTCCCAAAAAGAATGAGCTCTTAGTCTAAATTAGCTGGCAAGTCATGGAAGAATTCCTAGGTGATATCTGATATCAACTGGCTTACAGAGTTTAAATTATTTTTTTATTTGGGGGATACAAAATGCAAGACTCGCGATAATTCTGGCTATGCCCAGGGTACAATGCATTGCTGGGGACTGAAATTAGGCCTCCTTCATGGAAAATATGTGCAAAAGTCCATTGATTTCTCTCTCTGGTTTCAGCTTATGCTTTTAATAGTTCTACTCTGACTGCTATGTTTAAAATAAAGTTCAGAAGGGAAAGGGCAAAAGCAGGGTGAGGAGATCAGAGGCTACTACAAGTCAGGAAAGAAATCATCTAGTCTTGGGGCTGGAGAAAGAGTACAGTGGATAGGGGCTGGAGCAATAGCACAGCGGGTAGGGCATTTGCTTTGCATGCGGCCGACCTGGGTTCGATTCCCAGTATCCCATATGGTCCCCTGAGCACCACCGGGGCAATTCCTGAGTGTAGAGCCAGGAATAACCCCTGTGCATCGTTGAGTGTGACCCAAAAAGCACAAAAAAAAAAAAAGAGTGGACAGGGTGTTTGCCTGGGCTGGAGTGATAGCACAGCAGTAGGGCGTTTGCCTTGCGCGCAGCCAGCCTGGCCGAGCCAGGTTCGATTCCTCTGCCCCTCTTGGAGAGCCTGGCAAGCTACATATTGAGTATTCAATATGCCAAACACAGTAACAAGAATCCTCACAATGGAGATGCTACTGGGCTCGCTCGAGCAAATCGATGAACAACGGGAAGACACAGGGTGTTTGCCTAGCAGGTAGTCAACGCAGGTTTGATCCTTGGTATCCCTTACAGTCCTCTGAATACCTCCAGGACTAATCCTGAATGCAGAGCCAGGAGTATCCCCTGAGCACTGCAGGGTGTGCCCCTTCTCCCCACAAGAGAAATCTTTTAGTCTAACTCAAAAGGCAAAATGTAGAGGAAAGAAAGTAAAAACTGGTTAAAATGGAGCTGGGACAATAGGACAGCAGCTAGAGTGCTTGCCCTGCACTTGGCTGACCCGGGTCCAATCCTCAGTACCATATATGGTCCCCCCAGCCCCTCCAGGAGTGATCCCCGAGAGTAGAGCCAGGAGTAAGTTCCAAACACCACCAGGAGCAGGCAAAAATAAAATAAATAAATAAATAAATAAATAAATAAATCTGGGGCTGGACAGATGGTATAGCAGGTAGGGTGCTTATCTTGCACAAGCCAATCCAGGTTCAATCCCCAGCATTCATATAGTTCTCCAAGCACTGAAAGGAGTAATTCCTAAGTTCAGAGCCAAGAATAACCCCTGAGCATTGTTGGGTAACCCCCCCAAACCCAAACAAAATCAACTATAAAACCTGGCTTAAAAGAGAAAGCCAGCTATACTAAAATTTTCAAGTAAAGAAAATAAATCCTCAAACTCCAGGCCCTTTTCTAGAGAGCAACTCCCTAATCCTGGCAGTAGTCTGAGAGGCTACTCTTGGTTTTTTGTTCAGGGTCAATCCTGGCAGTGCTCGGGAGATATGTAGTGTGAGGGACTGAACCAGGGTCAGTTGCATTCAAAGCAAGCAAGTGAACACCTGATCTGCTTCTCCAATCCCTCTTGGCACATTTAAAAAAAAAAAATTATTGCTTTTGTTTGGGGGCCACTCCCAGTGGTGTTCAAGGTTTTATTCCTTATCACTTTTGGTGGGGCTCAGAGGACCATATGGGGTAACAGGGATGGAATGGGGGTTAGCTGCAAGGTAAACGCCCTTTGGCATACCCACACCCCACTGTACTATCTCTCCTGCTCCACCCTGGGAACTTTTAAAAGAGATAAGCGGAGTTGCCAAAGGACTGAATGTGGAGTGGGGTATAAGGAAGGAAATCAGGATGACAGCAAGACACACATCTGATTGTTTCGCCCATAAATTCACTCCTCATAATTTTTTAAGAGAAATTAATCCTAATTTATCAATGTCTTCTCATTTCATCTACCTAGAAAGTAGCTAGAAAGTCTGTCAGAGAATTCTGATTTGCTGCAGGCTCACCTGAATCCTCCACGGCCTGTGAGAACCATGTTCTGCTAAGCTCTTTACACCAAGCACCCCGAACAGAGCTAGACATACAGAGTGCTTAATACATGTTGGCTGAGTGCTTTGATGTGTGTTACTCCTCTGCAACTTCCCTCAAATTTACTGTCACCTCCCTTTTATTTCCGAAGACGTTATCTCTGATCAAGAACACTGCTGGTATTTTGGACAAAGAGTCCTTTCAAAACCTTTTTACTTGTAACTTTCTACTCAGTTTGTGACATACACTGTTAATAAATGTATGTCTCAGATATGATGTTACTCCTGCGTTCACTGTCTGTCACTGTCCTCCCATTGTTCACTGCTTTGCTCCCGCGGGCCCAGAAATGTCTCCATTGTGACACTTACTATCGTGTTTGGCATATCGAATATATCACGGGCAGCTTGCCAGGCTTTGCTGTGCGGGCGAGATCATTCACAGAATTTTATTTTTATTTTGGGTGTCACTCTCACCAGTGGTCAGGGCTTACTCCTAGCAGGCTCGGGGACAACATGGGGTGCTGGGGATTGAACTACCAATCCGGTCCCATCAGAGCACTTTAGAACTCGAGCTGTTGCTCAGAATTGCTGTTTTTTTCCTTCAATCTACCCTGTGCTTACTGCACAGTAAGTTGCTTATGAGTCCTCAGGTATGTTCACAATTACAAAATAATATAATTTAGTAGCTGATAGCACAGTGGTAGGGCATTTGCCTTGCAAGCGGTCGGCCTGGCCAACCTGGGTTCGATTCCTCCACCCCTCTCGGAGAGCCCGGCAAGCTACTGAGAGTATCTCGCCCACACGGCAAAGTCTGGCAAGCTCCCCGTGACGTATTCGATATGCCAGACACAGTCACAACAAGTCTCACAATGAAGACGTTACTAGGCCCGCTCAAGCAAATCGATGAACAACAGGACAGTGCTACAGTGCAGATGAGTCCTCAGATATGTCCACAATTACAAAAATAATATAACTTAGTAGTTAAGAGAACAGTTTCTACGTAAGCTCATCCATCATCCCAACTTTACAAACTCATTAAATCTTAGATATCAACTACAAGAAACTTCTGGGTACACAGATCTCCCAGGTGAAAACTCTGGGGCACCCTTGAGATGGGGGTGGGCCAGATCCCCACCCTGCCACACTCACAGTTCACAGCTGCTGCCATGCCAACAGCTCAACTCCACCACCTCATGACAGAGCTCTGCAGAGATGACACACTGCCAAAAATTCCTCACTCCTTTCAACCCCTGTCATTCCAGAAGTCCAGGAAGCCATACCCACATACCATAATGGCTGCCCTGTAAACTCTTGGCCCAATTAAATACTCTGGAACCCAAACTCTACAATATTGACATTCCAGCAGGAGAATACCAAATTAGATAGGAAAATAACATAGAAGCCAACTGAGTTCAATAAATGAAAATATTAACACAGAGGGTTCAACAACAGTTTAGTAAATCCTCAGACAAGGACTTAATGACTCTACGGTGATATATAACAACTTTTATAAGTTTTCTTTTACTGAACTATTTTTGATAAATCCATTAGCCATTTAGTTATAAGAAGCAATATAAAACAAATTATTTTGGGGACCAAAGTGATAGTACAGCAGTAGGGTATTTGCCTTGCACGTGGCCAACTAGGGTTGGATCCCCAACATCCCATATGGTACCCAGCACTCTGTCAGAAGTGATTTCTGAGTGCAGAGGCGTAACCCCTCAGCATTGCTGGGACTGACCCCAAAGGAAAAAAAAAAGACCCAACCAAACATATTATTTTGTGCCTCCTAAGGGGGCAGGCTTGAGGGTTGGTTGGGAAAATGGGGACAATGGTGGAGGGAAGGTCACAATGGTGGTGGGACTGGTGTTGGAATATTGAATTCCTGTAGCAAATGCAACATGAACAACTTTGTAAACCATATTGTTTAAATAAAGGGGGAAGAGAATAGTTTCTGAATTTCTTTGAATTTGGAGGGTTGATTCCTAGTTTAACTTAACAAATTTAATAATACACATAAAGTTATTTTCTTAGGCCAGAGAGATAGTACAGCAGGTAGGGCACTTGCATAGGCTCACCCAAGTTTGATCCCAGCACTGCATATGGTCCCCCAAAACCACCAGGAGCAATCTCTGACTGCAGAGCCACGAGAAAGTCCTGAGCACAGCCGTGGCCCAGAAATACAAACACACACACACACACACACACACACACACACACACAGTGTGTGTAGTAGCTTTTTTTCTCATGTGAGGCAATGAAGTCATTATGAATATCATGTAATTTCAAATCACCCTCCAGTATTTACTAGATTTGGAATCAAGGCAAGTTACCTAATCTCATTTTCTTTCTTTTTTTGTTTTGAAGTGCTGGGGATCAAATCCACTTCTCATGTATGCAAGGTATACATTTTACTGCTTAACCATATCCCACACCTTCAGCTCTTTTAATCTCATTTTCTCATCTGTAAATAATTTCATTTGTAAGTAATCACAATCTAGGCCTTTAAGAAATCAAGGGAGGTCCTGGGCCACTCTCAAGTGCTACTCATGGCTATGTGCTCAGGTAATAATATGCAGTGCTGAGGATTCAAACCTGGGTCAACAGCATTCAGAGTGCTTTACCTCCCGTACTATCTCTAAAGCCCAAGACTGTTTTTTGTGATTTTGTTTTTATGTCACACCAAGCAATGCTCAGGGATTGCTCCAAATGGAACCATGTGGAGATAGGAATTGTTGTTTGTTTGTTTGTTTTGGGGTCACACCAAGCAATACTGGGGTTGCTCAGGAGGACCACACAGAGCCAGGAATTGAACTGGGATCTCACACATACAAGGTAGGTGCTCTATCACTGAGTTTCATCTCTGGCCCTGTGAGAGTGTTAAAAGGTTTAAATGTTACCACATAAAAACTTCAAACTTAGTAAAGAACCTGGCACATACCAAGCTTTTGATAAAGATTTTTACTAGTAGTATTAATGTCTTCTTCTGTACCTTTGTTTTAACGTTCTCAAAACATTAAACAATTCATTCAACAGCTCTCATCTTCAAAGCAACACAGCGTGAATGCAGAAAGTAGGGATTTTAAGAGTCAGTCTTGAATTAAATCTAGATTCTGCTACTTACTATCTTAGCATCTCCAGCAAGTTACTAAACCTTTTTGTGTGTTTTCTCATCTGAAAAATGAAGATTACAAGAGAAACAATTTCACAGAATTGATGTAAGGTCTGAATAAGCATATGTAAACTCTAACACAATGCTCGGCCACAGCCAGTGTTTCATACATATTGGTTATCTTTATTATGTTAAATATTCTCACTAACATCTTTAATGATCACCAATCATATGCAATCTTTTCTTTCTTCTTTAGCAGTCCACTACATTCCATCAATACCCCCCCTTTTATTTTTGCATTTTGGGTTACAGCTTGCAATGCTCAGGGGTTACTCCCAGCTCTGCACTCAGGAATTACTCCTGGCTGTGCATGAAAGACGATATGGGATGATGGGGATCGAACCTGGTTCGGACACATGCAAGGCAAATGCCCTCCCGCTGTACTATCCCTCCAGCCCCTGTCAACACCCCTTCTATGAAAAAATATTTTTTCTATTATACTCGTTCACTCATTTATCCATCCATCAAATATACATCCACTTAAGCACAAAGAGACAAACCAATCACAGACTCGAAACACAAAAGAAGCTTAATTCTAGCAGAGTTCACTGGCTCAAAAGTAGACAGACTACAGCCTCTCTATAGCAATGATAGAACTGTGGGCCCAAGTGTTTTTGAAATTTTATTAGAACACAGTCACTTATTTATTTAAATATGGTCTATAGCTGTCTTTCTTCTTTTCTTTTTAGGACTCAAATTCAGAGCCTCATATATGCAAAGCCTGCAATCTACCACTGACCTATGTCCCCAAAGAGTCTAGAGCTGTTTTGGGGGTTCAAAGTCAGAATTAACCTATGCCACATCAGGCAAAAATATTTATTATCCAGTCCTGGGGTAGTGTACTATTTTCTTTAGTGAGTACGATTTTAGAGAATATGTCTTTCCTACCTATAATTTCATTGCAACCATCAGTATAAATGCTCAATTATTATTTATAAAGCAACATTAGTGATCTATATGGAATGTGTTTTTATATCGTTATATAGTTATTTATTTGGGAAGGGAATTTTGGGTCATACCCAGTGATGCTCAGAGGACCATATTCAGTGTGACAGATCAAACTGGGGTCCACTGCATGCAAGGTACCTTTCCCCTGCGCTCTCTCCAACCCTTAGTTATAAAGTCATATATAGTTAATTTTTTGGTTTTGTCTTGTTCTGGGGCCACACCTGGTGATGCTCAGGGGTCACTCCTGGCTCTGTACTCAGGAATTACTCCTGGCTTGGAGAAACCATATGGAATGTTGGGGATAAAATCGGGACCCATCACACGCAAGGCAAATGCCCTGCCCACTGCATTATCTCTTCAGCCCTCTCCAGCCCAAAATATTTCAAGTAATAAATGGCACACTTTACTCCCAGCAGTAACCAGATAACAGTAAACTATCAGATAACTAAAGCAGAGTAAAACTGCTACTTGAGACAAAAGATTCTATAAAATCTTTAGTTATGTTTTTCAAAGTTCTACCATTAAAAATTATATTTTAAGCTAAAATTATATTTTGAGCTGTAATAATAAAATTATTTACCTGTTTTGGCTCACTAGCCATAAGATATTAATACCTTAGAAAACAAGAGAGATGGTTCAAAGGGCTGAATGCACGAGATCTGCATTAAACCCAGCACTGTCTAATTCCCGCAGCACTAAAACTCTCCTTGGTCCAAACAAGGAACTACTTTAGAGTCAATGGATTCCAGCTATATGGCCTCCTTTAGTCTATGCTGAAAAAGTTTCTTCCTAATCAAATATCAAATGACAATAATGAGAGGACTAATACAGAACAACTAGAACCTAGAAGACCAGAGTCCAGCTTTGCATCATAAAATCATGGGAAAGCATGAATCTCTTCATGTCTCCATTTATTTTTTAGTTCGCAGTATTATATGGATATTTGGAAAACTATAAGCCTATTAAATTCCTTTTTGTCTTCTGATTCCCCCCCCACACACACACACCTGCTTTGGTTTTTCAGTCACAATCAGTGGTGCATGGGTTTTATTCCTAATTTGGTGCACGGTGGATCAAGTAGTGCCAGAGATGGAATGGAGGGTTTCAAATTTTCAAGGCAAATGCTCTAGCACTGACCCTTCCCCAGTTCACCCCATATAAATTCTTAAGCAACTGGCTACGAAAACAGGAACCGAACTGCCATGAATGTCAACGTACGAAATCAGAGAAAGCAAACTCAATGTTCTAGAAGGTATAGCCCCATTCATTTAATTATACCTCAGGGATATCCTAGCTGGTAAGAAATAATCCAGACAGATTTCTAAAATTCCATTTCCCCATTTTAAAGTCTAGGGCAACTACTTGCCTGTTAAATGGAACATCTTGAAGAATCCGGTCACTGCAAAGTGAAAGAAGGCAATTCTTCTGCAACTGAAAAATCAAAGGGAGAAAAAGAGACCTGAATGACAGGCTGCTTTGCTGCTGCCCTTTGTCTTGAGGCCACAGCCAGCAGTGTTCAGGGTTCACTCCTGACTCTGTGCACAGGTGGTCTCTGGCAATGCTGAAAGACTGCATGTTGTGCCAGGGATTAAACTGGGGCCAGCTACATGATAGGGCAAGTACTTGATAGTCAAGTACCCCTGAACCACTTTCTGGCCTACTCTGCTGTTTTTGATCAAAGGTGGGAAAGAAGAGAGGGGAGGGGAGGAGAAGGGGGGAGGGGAGTGGAGGAAAAAGAGAAGGAAGGAAGGAAGGAAGGAAGGAAGGAAGGAAGAAGGGAAGGAGGGAGGGAGGGGGGAGGGGGGAGGGAGAGAGGGTGGGGGGAGGGAGGGGGAAGGAAGGAAGAAAGGAAGGAAGGAAGGAAGGGAGGGAGGGAGGGAGGGAGGGAGGGAGGGAGGGAGGAAGGAAGGAAGGAAGGAAGGAAGGAAGGAAGGAGGGAGGGAGGGAGGGAGGGAGGGAGGGAGGGAGGAAGGAAGGAAGGAAGGAAGGAAGGAAGGAAGGAAGGAAGGAAGGAAGGAAGGAAATACCAATTATTTTTTTACATTTATTTTATGCACCTACTGCTGAAACAATTAAAAGACTGACTTTCACTAGACTCGTGTTTACTAGGGCTGGAGCGATAGCACAGCGGTAGGGCGTTTGCCTTGCACGCAGCCAACATGGCCGACCCGAGTTCGATTCCTCCGCCCCTCTCGGAGAGCCTGGCAAGCTACCGAGAGTATCTCACCTGCACGGCAGAGCCTGGCAAGCTCCCCGTGACGTATTCGATATGCCAGACACAGTAACAACAAAGTCTCCAATGGAGACGTTACTGGGCCCGCTCGAGCAAATCGAGGATCAACGGGAGGGCCTTTACCTGTACCTTACCATGTTTACTAGTACATGCATATGCAGGCTTATTTTGTCTTTTTTCATTAGATGAGAAACTATACTAAATAAGATTAATTCTCCTGCCACTCTGGCAGCCGTTTGAGTTTTCTGAAGAGGCAACTGCTGAAAGTACTGCCCGGTGACATGGCATCAAGGAACTTAAACCATCCTGCTCTGCTAAACCCAGTATGGATTTTGACTCATCCTTAACCCCAGTCACAGGCAACTGAATGCTCCACACTTTCACATAAAAGCCCAGTTTTTCTGCTTCTTTTCAAAGCGAAATTCTATTTGTTTTTCAAATGGGACTCAAAGTTATCCCAGTTTTGCAGTACTGCCTTGTACCTTTGTACACATACCAATCCAAATGGCAAAATTAATGAAACTGTAGTTTTTAACGGCATTTAGTTCTAATAGCAGAGGGGACCTATATAATTCCTTTATAGTATAGGCAACTTTCCCACTAATGAGTCTTTCAGGGGAACTTAAGGGGCTGGGCCATACTTGGCAGTACTGGGGACTATTCCTAGTTCTGTGCTTGGAGATCGCACCCATGGGCGGCCAGGGGACCAGACAGTGCCAGGGATTGAATATGCCTCCTGCATGCTCAGCCTATTAAGTTATCTTTCAGCTTCCTTTTTGAGTCTTTTGGAAGAAGAGGGTCATACCTAGTGGTTCTAAGGGTCTACTCCTGTCTCTCTGCTCAAGAGTGACCCCTGGCAGTGCTCAGGGGTTTATATGTGATGCCAGGAATTCACACCTGGATCAGCTGCATCCAAGCAAGGCCTTATCTAATATACTATCTTTCCATCTTTCCAGTCCTTGAGTAATTTTTTTTTTTTTTTTGCTTTTTGGGTCACACCCGGCGATGCTCAGGGGTTACTCCTGGCTCATGCACTCAGGAATCACTCCTGGCGGTGCTCAGGGGACCATATGGGATGCTGGGAATCGAACCTGTGTTGGCCATGTTGGCTGCGTGCAAGGCAAACGCCCTACCGTAAGCTGTGCTATTGCTCCAGCCCCACCTTGAGTAATTTTTAAATGTTTTATTTTTATATTTGTTTTTGAGCCACCTCCAGCAATGCCCAGTCTTACTACTGGCTCTGCACTCAGGGATCACTCCTGGCAGTTAGGAGGACCCTACCCTCTATACTATCTTTCCTTTGAACAGTATTATCAATATTTTTCCAGTAAATTAATATATTCAAAGTACCAACTCAGCTTTGTTCATCTGTTCTAATCCAAGATATATATTTTTACTACGGCATTTCTGTCTCTGTCTCTCTCTCTCTCTGCAGGGCGCACACTGGCAGCATTCAGGGACTATTCACAACTGGGTAACTGGGGTTGGTCCTGCTAAGTGTTCAGGGACAATGCAGTATGGGAATCAAACCCAGGGCTCCTGCATAAAACATGCACTCCAGCCCATAGAGCTATCTCTCCAGCTTCTACTGTATTTCTATTGCATGGGTTTTCACTTTCTCTTTATTATTTTCTTCCTTCTGCTTTATATGAGTTTGTTCTCTGGCTGTTTCAGTAACATATATCGTTTCCTTATAGGTTCACCTACAGTTTTCTTCGTCTAAGGATACATCCCATTTGGAAAGAGGAATCATGGTTTTATGCAAAGGGGTTTCTATTAGAAATCACTTGAGTATGTCATGCTTTTCTTCAGTATACAACATGAAAACAAAAGCCTAAAGTTAACTAATCTGGCAGTTTCACTGAGGAAGGTGGACTCTCCTACTCTATAATCCAGATTTTCATTTTTACTTAATTTGGACCTTTGAATACTTCCTACTTTTTTATCAACTCATTGAAAGTTAAGAAAACAGAGAACACAGAGATAGATCAATGAGCTGAGTGCACGCTTTGCAGCAAGGAAGCCCTGATTTGATCCCTGGCACCACATAAGAACCTAAGTACTGCTGGGTTGCAACCTCCAAAAATGACCCTGGGAGTGGTCCCCAAGCACCACTGGATATGGCTCCCAAATCAAAAGGAAATGAATGTTAAGAAAAATGATTCAAGGGGCTGGAGCGATAGCATAGGGGTAGGACATTTGCCTTCATGTGACCAACCCGGGTTTGATTCCCAGCATCCCATATGGTCCCCCGAGCACCACTAGTAGTAATTCCTGAGCACAGAGCCAGGAGTAGCCCCTGTGCATTGCCGGGTGTGACCCAAAAAAAAAAAAGATTCAAGCACATATTAGTTTTCATCCTAAGGACAGATTTTTTCGTAATGTCTACCACATTACTAGAAACAAAAAATTCCTGCCTTACTCATTTCTGTATTCCAATACTCAATAGTGCCTTGTTTGCTGAAACCACAACAGCCTCAAGATTTAGATAAAGATGAATTTTATATGGCTTGTTCTATTTCCCCCAACATTTGGAATTAAAAACTTTTTTTACCTGGTTTTAGGATCACACTAAATGGTGCTCAGGGCTAACTCCTGGCTCTGTGCTCAAGGATTACTTCCAGTGGGGCGCACACAGTGCTGGGGATTGAACCCAGGTAGCCACATGCAAGGCAAGTGCCCAATCCACTGTACTATCTCTCTGGCCCCAGATTTAAATATTTTTAGGCAGGAAATGTACTCCACTTTTTCATTTCTCTATTATCCTATACTCAGTCATATCACAAAATTATTTTCTAGTTCACAAAACTATTTGAATTTCCAGAATTTGTGAAATAGTATGGAGAAAAGCAAAAGGTAAGAAACACTGAAAAAAACTGATTTGGATTTTTTTATTTTTAATAATTCTTGATTTTTGTTTTGTGCCAAACTCAGTGATGCTCAGGGCTTACTCCTGGCTCTGTGCTCAGAGGTGACTCCTTGTGGTGTGACCATATGCAGTGCCCACAATCAAACTAGGATTAATCATAAATAGGCCAAGCGTACACCCTCTGTACTATTCCTCTGGTCCCTGTTTGAAAACGGCTTCCTACATACTTACTTGCTGATGGTTGGGGAAATGTTCCATGGCTTTGAGCAGTAAATGGGTCACATCAGCCAGGAGTCTGACAGGCATTCCTGCAGCAAGATCCTGTTTGGTTAAGTTAAACACACAAGCACTTGCAGCCAATTGCACCGGCAAGTTCATAGGATGATTTCTCATCCCAGTAACTACAAGCTGGAAAAGAAAACAAAAACAGTTCTCTTAATTGGCATTATAAATATAAGGCTTCTCTATATAGCAATATCTCTTTGCTGATCCACAACACTTTCCTTTTTAAATTGCTTTTGTTTTGGAATTTTAGTTGTTGAAATTAAACCCTGCGTCTCATACAAGCAAAGCATACATATTATCACTGAACTACAACCCTCTCTCCTGTTCTAAGTGGCATGAAAAGGTCCTTAGTAAATTCCAATAATTTTCTATTAGAGCAGGTGATAAAACATTGCAATCATGGCTGTCGCTTTTTCAGATAGTTAAGTATTGAGAGACTTTCTAACATTGTATAATGATACTACTATAAAACTTTAGTAATATTATGAAACTGCCTTCTCTCACTAAAGCTATAGTTGAAATCGTATCATCAATCCCGTTACAAACAAAAATCAAAGACTAATGTGATCTTTAACCAATTATTTTTTTTTTAAAAATCGTCTAGGGAGATAATCCGAAATTTTTCAAATGAAATTTTTTACTCTTACCTTTAAAATTTCTGGTTTTGTTTTTTCCATCACATGAGTCAGGCTAAAAAGGTGGAAAAGAGCTTCCCGAACAAAGAATGCCCGTTCACTGTACCGCTTCAGTGCTTCTGCAATTTGAATTTCATTGGCTTCTCCAGATACCTTTGAACATACATACCCAGAAGATTACTTTTCATAATCTTATCAAATCTCAAATTTTATGTAAAGATCCTCTGTATAGTTAGCATCTTGGATACGCTTAAAGACATGAAACAGGGCCAGAGCGATAGTATACTGGATAGGATGTTTGCCTTGCACGCGACCAACCCGGGTTCAATCCCTGATGACTTATATCCCTGAGCACTGCCAGGAGTAATTCCTGAGTGCAGAGCCAGGAGTAACCCCTGAGCATTGCCAGGTGTGGCCTAAAAACATAAATAAAGACTTGAAACAGATGGGAATAATTTCCAACCCTTCCAGACTGTCCAAATAAGTACACACAGACTAAGAAGGTGTTTGCTAGATAGACTCAAAACCTACTATAAACCTGTGGGTGAAACTTTCTAGACTGCATCTACAATGAATCGCAAGATACAGAACACTCTCTATAAGGTTCCTACAATATGATCAGGCCTTTATATTCCCTCTCTTGGGGAAAGCCTCCAAAGATGTACTTCGGGGACCTAAGGCCACTCCTGCTCAGGTAATATTCCATCAACTGAGCAGGTGGGTCAGTGCTAAGGTCCCCCCAGTGATGCTCAGATGGTCACAAGGTACCAGGGATTGAAGCCAGACTGGGTACACGAAAGGTTTACACTCTAATCCATGAATGACCTCCCCAGTCCCTCCTCTATACCTGTTTCTCTGGAGGGGATGAAGGCTGGTCATACCCAGCAGGCTCACAGGACTGTATGTGATGCTGGGGATTCAAACAGGGGTTGACAGGATGCAAGTCAAGCATTTTACCCCCATAGTCATTCCAGCTCCCCTATATGCCTCTCAAGATAACTCCCTCTAAATCGCAAAAGTTACAGCTACACTGGCTTTTTTCTTACCATCTTCCAAGAAAACAAAACTTTCCCCAACAAAAGGCCATAATATATTATCATTTCCTCTCTAACTCAAATCTTCCTGTCTTTGCCTAATTGTTATTCTCCCATTCCCAACTCAAGTTAAAAGACTCGTCTTTAGAGAGGTCTAACTGGATCCATCAATCAGGTACTATCAAAACATCTCCTTTAAGGGCCGGAGGAATAGCACAGTGGGTAAGATGCTTGGTCTGCATGTGGCTGACCTGGGTACAATCCCTGGCACCCCTTATTGTTCCAAAACTACCAGGAGTGATGTTTGAGTGCAAAGCCAGAAGTAGCCCTAAGCACCACTGGGTGTAACCCAAAAACAAACAAAAAACCTCCTTCATAGATAGTATTATAATCACTGTACTAGACTGACCCAGTTCCCCCTATATCCCAATAGTGGGCATCATTTTAGCATCTAAACATATTAATTAATTTCCCAAGATTTACCAAGTTCTCATTCTACATAGAATTTCTGTGCAAACCTACGTCTATTTAGGAATTTATTTACCCCAATTAATGCATTTATGTTAAACTGTTACTCATATATCATTAAAGATCTCATATATCTTTCTTATGAAAGAACTATAATAAAAAATAAATTAGAAAGATTATCACTGAAATTCCCCAATGAATGAACCTGAATATTTAGAGTCATTAACTGTTAAGATCACAGAATAACAACTAGACATTATTTACTGATTTAAAAAAGCCTAATATATAAGGAAAAATATAAAAGCTTACAAATCCAATATGTGCAGAAGATACGAAGATACCTATGTACCATAAGTATACAATAAAGAAACTCCAGCTTGAGGGAAACTACAAATCAAAGTGATCCAGGTTCTTTCACAGATAATTTGTAAGGAAAAAAAAAAAGAACGGAGAGGAAATCTATAAACTAAAAGATACCCCAAAGACATAATTTGGGACAATGGATCAGATTCATTAAAGGTCTTCAGAGATAAACAACTTGTCTTTAGGGGGCTGGAGCAACAGCAGAGCGGGTAGGGTGTTTGCCTTGCACGCGGCCAACCCAGGTTCGATTCCCAGCATCCCACATGGTTCCCCGAGCACCGCCTGGAGTAATTCCTGTGTGCAGAGCCAGGAGTAACCCCTGAGCATCGCCAGGTGTGACCCAAAAAGCAAAACAAAACAAAAACAAAAAACTTGTCTTTAAAACTATATAGAAACTAATAATCTGATTACTACTAGAACTGAGGGAGATTGCTTTTTTTGATTTGGTTTGGGGACCGCACCCAGTGGAGTTCGGGGGTTGCTTCAGGTAGTGCTTGGGAATCAGGCAGGGCCAGGGATCAAATCCAGGTCTCAATACATAAAGCATTAGCTCAGGCCCATGCAGCTTTCACTCTGTCCCCTGCTATATGTTTTTTAACTGGACATACATGGTCCAGCGTGCAAGACTAATGGTTTCAGTGGTTGGTCTGGCAGTTTGGGAAAGATTGGGGCCAAACCTGGTAGTACTTGGAAGCCTATGCAGTATTCGTCCTCCTTTTGATTTATTTTTCTTTACATGACACCCTCAAGTAGCATACAAGTTGTACACAAGATTTCATCTTTTCTTATAGTTTAGTATTTCACTATATATATATATACATATACATATATATATCTCACATCTTTATCCACTTACCTGTCTGAAGGCATTTGAGTTATTTCAGACCTTGGCTATTGTACTATCCCTCTGGCCCTTTTTTTCTGGATCTTTTGATACAGGTCATTTTCACTAGTGTGAGCTGACACCTCATATTGTTTTACATTTCCCTTATATTTAGAGATAATGAGCACTTTTTCATATACCTGTTAACCATCTGTATGTCTTCTTAGAGGAGGTGGTTGTTCAGTTCCTCTCCCCTTTTCTTGCTTATCTGGTGTTTTGTTAGTGCTATCTTGGGTATTACTGTATTTCACCGCACAGTTACTGTACCCTGCTTCAGTTTCAGTAATACAGGCACAATTAAGACTCAATAATGGTTACATCTCACTGCCCCTCCCCACAAACAACCTCAAAGTTTGCAAGGATCTTACAGTGAAACCTTACAGTGAATAGTAGTGGTGAAATTGAGAGCCAGGAAGCTAGCTCAGGGAATAGGGGTGCATGCTTTATGTATTTTTTATTTAAACCCTCTTGATGTATTAATTCCTTAATCAATAAATAAAGTACATCACCATCTTATATCCTGAACTCTTTTTAGACTGGTAGAAGCCTGGCTGTCCCTTCGTTTTTCTAGTCTGTTGGTTTTCCAGGCTTTTACTCCACATCTGCTGGGTGTGGCTCCAACACAAAAAATGGTGGCTTTTTTTGTTTTTTGTAAATAAATAAATCATCTGAAATACCCAAACAGGGAGTGATAGTACAGCTGATAGGGCAGTTGCCAGACATGTGGCTGACCGTGGTTCGATCCCCAGCATCCAATATGGGCCCCTGAGCACCACCAGGAATGATTCCTGAGTACAGAGCCAGGAGTAACCCCTGAGCATTGCCAGGTGTCACAAAATAAACAAGAAATAAGAACTAAAATACTTAAGCATTATCATAATGAGGAGCCAAAGAGAAAGTAAGGGGGGAGGTAAGGTGCTCGCCTTGCAGGTGTCAACCCTAGTTCTATCCCCAGTATTACCATGATCCTTTGAGCATCACCATGAGTGACCCCTGAGTATAGTCAGAAGTAAGCCTGAGCATTCCCAGGTGTAGCCCAAAACCAAAATCAAACAAATAAACAGAATAAAATTAGTATCAGTCCAGGGATTATTACATGAAATGCATGGCATGTAATTAAATACTATGTCATTTAATCACTGTCACTGTCCTCCCGTTGTTCATCGGTTTTGCTCGAGCGGGCCCAGTAACGTCTCCATTGTGACACTAGTTACTGTGTTTGGCATATCGAATACATCACAGGTAGCTTCACATAATTAAATATCATTATTAATCACTATGAGAATTCTGTAAGGTAGGAATAAAACGCTTGATAAAGAAATGAAAACAAAGTTATATCATGCTTGGGTTGGCTCATGAAGCAAGTAGAGATTTTAATTAGAACTCTTGCTCTAAAAGCAAGATTTTTCCACTACACAGGTTCTATATCTTGAATATGCCCTGCATATTATTAGGCATTTATCTTAATAGAATCTTTTATGTGCCCAAGATATTGGTCAGCATGATAAAATATAATATTTTAAAAATCTAACCTTTAAAAGTCCTTCGCCTGTGAGAAACTCAGAGTAACCAGCATCAGTGGCCAGCAAACCTACAAACTGCATGCTGGGGCGCTGTTGTATAAAGGCTTCAACAGCTTTATCTGTCACATGCTTTCTCCCAGAAACATCCAGGGAGACAAGGTTGGGCAGGATGTCCTTCTGTTCTAGTAAGCGAAGAGCTATGTCCGACGTAAACTGTTTATCATCCGAAATATCAAGATGATTCAGATGTCTTAGTTCCCGAACAACATCCAGTATCTGAGTAGTTGTCATTTTTAAACATTTCAAGTGGTGCATGGTTAGGGACTTGAGTCGATCTTTACATGCCAGCAGAGCAGTGATGTCTGTGACTGAGGTGTTAGAAATATCCAGGCTCTCTAATCTTGGCAACGAGGCAACTTCCGCCAGGTCTTCATTGTAAAAGAGAACATTGGTGATGCTTAACGCTCGAAGGCCGGAAAGCCGACTGAAGCACCGCTCATAAGGATCTTCAAGAGAGAGCGTTAATGAGTTCAGCACTAAGCACTGGAGATTTTGCTGGATCCACTTGTTACTGCCAAGCCCACTAATGATGTCTGTAATCGTGATGTCAGCATTCACACCCGTGGCATCAAGTTCTACTAACTTGTGATGGCAGAAGGCTTTCCGGAAAGCAACAGCAGAGATCTTGGCTTTGCGAATGCAAGCTCGCTTTAAGCGCATCTGGTTGCCCCTAAAGATACCTACAGTTCCATCATTCAGTAGACCTGGGGGAAAAAAAAAAGCAGAGCTTTAAGTTCAAAAGAAGTGAAAGAATAATTTAAAAAATGTCCATAATATTCAAATTTAAAAATAAATCTCAATAGAATCAAAATGGTTTAAAGACCTTGTTATCAGAAGCTGGAGAAATAGTACCCACAGGTAAGGCATCTGCCCTGAGTGCAGCCAATCTGAGTTCTATCCCTGGCATTCCATATGGTCCCCTGAGCCCACCAGCAGTGATTACTAAATGCAGAGCCAGGAGTCAGCCCTGAACACTGGTGAATGTTGCCCCAAACAAAAACAAAACGAAAACCTTGATATCGGCCCTGAATCCACATAGAGGGATGTAGAACTCTCCATGACATTGGAGAGAACGGCATCTTTAGGGAAAGAACACCAGTGGTCAAGCAAGCAGAAACAAAGACAAACAGGTTTCTTTTACTATACATGAAAAGTTCGTGAGATAAGGATATTATCTACAATTAAATAAACTGGGGTTCGGAAAAATAGCTTTCCAAAATCACAGTGGAGCCAGTGGAAAAATCAGAACTGCAGCACACACTTGCTGATCTTCACTAACATCTGGTCTCCTTGACTTCTGGGATACACAACCAGCTGCATTTCCCAATCCCCTAGAATTAAACAGATCCAAAAGTCTAATTCTAGAAAAGCGAAACACCTGAGAAACAGTGCCTGATTTCCCATGCTCTCTTCTCCCACCACACAAGAAGAGTCTCCAAGCTCTAAGCAGTGCAGCTTCATGAGAGAGAAGTCTCCTCAGTCTAGATCCTGGGCAACCCTGGAGAAGACCCTCCGGAAACGTGGAGGGTTTATGAACCCTCAGTGAGGTACAAACCTTGTGTTATGCTACTGGGTTTGGTGGTGCTAATTTGTAAGCAGAGTATATATATATATATATATATATATATATATATATATATATATATCCTTCTTGTGCTGCGATGCTCACACAGACATTTGGTTGCAGTGCTCAAGCCGCACACGGGAAGGTCATCCTTGTGGCACCAGGGATCTAATGCTTGAAGCTCATGAATGTAAGGTAGGACCCCCTATTCCTGAGCCACGCCTCTAAGTAATTCTAACACTTTATTACACAGAGAAGCATATGGACACACAGACATCTATACATACGTGTCTCTAATTCATTATTTTTTTAAATTTTATTTTTATAAAGTTGTTCACAGTAATTCATTACATTTAATATTTAAACACCAATCCCACCACCATTGCACCTTCCCACAACCATATTTCAAATGTTCCCACCCCAGATGCCAAAACGTGCCTCCCAAAGCAGAACCGAAACCATTAATTTTGTATTGCTTGTTATGAATAATCCGCTAAAAATGGGCCAATAAAGTTTCCTTAGAGGGAAGTACGTGAAGATTGCTGTATTTTATCCTGGAGCCATTAAACCCTGGCATAAGAGTCTTGCAAGTCTTTACCAGTCTTGCAAGTGTGAGACCATGACTTTGGTTCTCGATCCTGCCACACGAACCAACATATATCAAGTACTTCCTATACTCCTACACTATCTCTCTAGACCACTTAACTTTAACAAAGAGATTTTAAATTTGAGCAACTCAGTGGGAATCAATGTAGATGTTCTCATCTTTCCTAAATTATTCTAACATACCTCAATGATAGTCAGTTTCTATCACCCTTTCTTTTCTATATTTTTTCTGGAGGGGGTCACACCCGGTGATGCTCAGGGGTTACTCCTGGCTCATGAATTCAGGAACTACTCCTGGCAGTGCTCAGGGGACCATACGGGATGCTGGGAATCGAACCCGTGTCGGCCATGTGTAAGGCAAACGCCCTACCCACTGTGCTATCGCTCTAGCCCCCTCTATCACCTTTCTTAAAATGCATTCTCTGCATTTTTGCTTTACACACATATAAAAATATCATACGTTAGAAAAACTGATACGAATTTTTGGGTGTGGTACCAGGGGTTAAACACAAGCAAAGTGCCCATTACTTAAGGCACATCCCTAGTGCAGGAAAATTACATACTTATTTACATAGTACTTATTTTTATGTGTAACAATATAGAAATAGAAAACATAAAATATATGTATGTAAAAACACAACAAAAGTATATGTTATTATCTGGCCTCTAGGAAAAGAGAGGCTTTTTGGCACAGAACAGAGATGGGGGCTGGAGAGATAGTATAGCCGGTAAGACTCCTGCCTTACACATAGCCAATGTGGGTTCAATCCCTGGCATCCCATATGGTCCCCTGAACCTGCAGGAGTAATTGCTGAATGCAACAGCAGGAGTCACCCCTGAGCACTGCCAAGTGTGGGAGGGAAGAGGGGAGGGAGGGAAGGAAGGAAGCAGGAGGCAGTGAGGGAGGAAGGGAAGGAAGGAGGGAGGGAGGGAGGGAGGGAGGAAAGGAGGGAGGGAGGGAGGGAGGGAGGGAGGGAAGGAAGGAAGGAAGGAAGGAAGGAAGGAAGGAAGGAAGGAAGGAAAAAGAGAAGGAGGGAGGGAGGGAGGGAGGGAGGGAGGGAGGAAGGAAGGAAGGAAGGAAGGAAGGAAGGAAGGAAGGAAAAAGAGAAGGAGGGAGGGAGGGAGGGAGGGAGGAAGGAAGGAAGGAAGGAAGGAAGGAAGGAAGGAAGGAAAAAGAGAAGGAGGGGGGAGGGAGGGAGGGAGGAAGGAAGGAAGGAAGGAAGGAAGGAAGGAAAAGAGAAGGAGGGAGGGAGGGAGGGAGGGAGGGAGGGAGGGAGGAAGGAAGGAAGGAAGGAAGGAAGGAAGGAAAAAGAGAAGGAGGGAGGGAGGGAGGGAGGGAGGGAGGAAGGAAGGAAGGAAGGAAGGAAGGAAGGAAGGAAGGAAGGAAAAAGAGAAGGAGGGAGGGAGGGAGGGAGGGAGGGAGGGAGGAAGGAAGGAAGGAAGGAAGGAAGGAAGGAAGGAAGGAAGGAAAAAGAGAAGGAGGGAGGGAGGGAGGGAGGGAGGAAGGAAGGAAGGAAGGAAGGAAGGAAGGAAGGAAGGAAGGAAGGAAAAAGAGAAGGAGGGAGGGAGGGAGGGAGGGAGGGAGGGAGGAAGGAAGGAAGGAAGGAAGGAAGGAAGGAAGGAAGGAAAAAGAGAAGGAGGGAGGGAGGGAGGGAGGGAGGAAGGAAGGAAGGAAGGAAGGAAGGAAGGAAGGAAAAAGAGAAGGAGGGGGGAGGGAGGGAGGGAGGAAGGAAGGAAGGAAGGAAGGAAGGAAGGAAAAGAGAAGGAGGGAGGGAGGGAGGGAGGGAGGGAGGGAGGGAGGAAGGAAGGAAGGAAGGAAGGAAGGAAGGAAAAAGAGAAGGAGGGAGGGAGGGAGGGAGGGAGGAAGGAAGGAAGGAAGGAAGGAAGGAAGGAAGGAAGGAAAAGAGAAGGAGGGAGGGAGGGAGGGAGGGAGGGAGGGAGGAAGGAAGGAAGGAAGGAAGGAAGGAAGGAAAAAGAGAAGGAGGGAGGGAGGGAGGGAGGGAGGGAGGAAGGAAGGAAGGAAGGAAGGAAGGAAGGAAAAAGAGAAGGAGGGAGGGAGGGAGGGAGGGAGGGAGGGAGGAAGGAAGGAAGGAAGGAAGGAAGGAAGGAAGGAAGGAAGGAAGGAAGGAAAAAGAGAAGGAGGGAGGGAGGGAGGGAGGGAGGAAGGAAGGAAGGAAGGAAGGAAGGAAGGAAGGAAGGAAGGAAGGAAGGAAAAAGAGAAGGAGGGAGGGAGGGAGGGAGGGAGGGAGGAAGGAAAGAAGGAAGGAAGGAAGGAAGGAAGGAAGGAAGGAAGGAAGGAAGGAAGGAAAAAGAGAAGGAGGGAGGGAGGGAGGGAGGGAGGAAGGAAGGAAGGAAGGAAGGAAGGAAGGAAGGAAGGAAGGAAGGGGGAGGAGGGAAGGAAGGACAAAGGAAAGGAGGGAGGGAGGGAGGGAGGGAGGGAGGGAGGGAGGGAGGAAGGAAGGAAGGAAGGAAGGAAGGGGGAGGAGGGAAGGAAGGACAAAGGAAAGGAGGGAGGGAGGGAGGGAGGGAGGAAGGAAGGAAGGAAGGAAGGAAGGAAGGAAGGAAGGAAGGAAGGAAGGGGGAGGAGGGAAGGAAGGACAAAGGAAAGGAGGGAGGGAGGGAGGGAGGAAGGAAGGAAGGAAGGACGGACACTGATCAGGCAACTTGCACTTCAACCAGGCTTCACCATTTACTAGCCATATAATCCTTAACAAAAAAGTTACTTCTCTGAATCTGTTCCTTATCAATATATAAACAGAATAATAAGTTATCTTTTGAGGAGTTTTAATAAAATTGAAGAAAAACAAAAATTCCTAACAAATAAATAAATGTTAGTTACCATTATGGTCCATTTTTATATGATTTCCGACCTGTGACCGGAAATCAGATTTCCTTCTTTTAAGACTAAATATTTGTTCGTCGATTTGGGGCTGGAGTGATAGCACAGCGGGTAGGGTGTTCGCCTTACAAGCGGCCAACATGGCCGACCCGAGTTCGATTCCTCCGCCCCTCTCGGAGAGCCCGGCAAGCTACCGAGAGTATTCGATATGCCAGACACAGTAACAACAAAGTCTCCAATGGAGACGTTACTGGGCCCGCTCGAGCAAATCGACGATCAACGGGAGGGCCTTTACCTTTACCTTTACCTAAGACTAAATATGTAAAGCTTAAATTAAAAAGGCATTACAGGGGCTGGAGAGATAGCACAGCGGGTAGGGCATCTGCCTTGCACGCAGCCGACTCGGGTTCGATTCCCAGCATCCCATATGGTTCCCTGAGCACCGCCAGGAGTAACTCCTGAGTGCAGAGGCAGGAGTAACCCCTGTGCATCGCCAGGTGTGACTCCAAAAGCCAAAAAAAAAAAAAAAAAGGCATTACATTTTGCTCAATTTAAAAACAAAAGTTAAAAATATCTTTAATACATAAAAGTAAAATTTCAGTGATGAAACTTACCCAATTTAGTTTCAGGATTTTTGAAAGCAGAAATACTAAATTAGCTGTGATCTCCCATTTTAACGAAAGCCCAAGGTAAAATTTTCATAAAATATGAAGTAAAAATGTTATACCTGCAGACTTCTAAGTGGATGTTTTATAAATTAGAGATGTTATTTTTGTCATGAAAATGACTTCCAAAAGGACAAAAGTAAAGAAAGAGACTTTCTCAGACCAGAAAAGGAAAATACTATTCCAAATTGCACATCAAATACTAGGATAGATGAAAATAAATGAATTCCTTTCCCTAGAAGCAGGATCTTCCAACACACAATGCTAATCTGCAGCACATAAATAAAACAAAAAAAAAAAAAACCAATTTCCTCTATACATTTGTTTTTTACCATGAAAAGCCATGGTCTTCAGCAGTCGGTCAGCCACCTCCTGAGGGAATACTCCAGGTTCTTGCAGACACAAGGTTCCATCGTGTCTTGCTAAGCAGAACTTCTCCAGGTGAGTCGTCAGGAAATTCAAGCAGATATCAAGTAAGGAATAAGGAGATGCCTCCTCCTTGGAGCCGAGGAAGAAAAAAAAGAGACAAAAACACCAACAAGTCAGTTTCCAGAAAAGTAAAGAAAAAAAGCATTCATTTCCTCATTATTTATTATTTACTACATGCCAAATACTGAACAAGACTGAGGGAATATATGGGTGTCTCATGTTCTCAAGAAGCAAGAAAAGTGAAACATTTACACAGATAGTTAAGTAAATCTATGACAGATAGTAATACAGGACATACTGGATAGTATGTAAGCACATAGTCAGGGAAAGTAGGGGGGACCTACTCTCTGTAGATTAATCTTCCAAAATTATCACCCCATAATCTTCCTCTCCTCAAACCTTCAGAGGAAGAAGACAGTACAGCAGGTAGGGTATTTGCTTTGCATTAATGATCCAGCTGACCCAAGTTGGATCCCAGACTCCCATATGTTCCCCAAAGCACTGCCAAGACTAATTCCTGAGTGCAAAGTCAGGAGTAACCCCTGAGCATTGCCAGGTGTGCCCCCTCCAAAAAAAAAATCACAAAGTAAAAAAACATAGGAAGGAAGGTTCATGGGCCTGAAGAAAGAACAAAATCCAAGGCCAAGGAAAACAGGGGCCAGGAGGACTGGTCAATGGTTGGAAATTACCACAAGTGTGTGCAAAGTGGAGAGTAGTTAAGATAGAGGAGGGTCCAGTATGACAACTGTAACTGGAAAGTGGAAATAATCACTCTTGACAAGAACTGAGTGTTGAAAGTAAGTAAAAGTACATGATAACCTTTCATCATCTGTACTGTAAACCATAATGTCGAGAGAGAGAGAGAGAGAGAGAGAGAGAGAGAGAAAGTGCTGCCACAGAGGCAGGCTGGGGGGATTTGGGGGAGATGGGACAATGGTGCTGGGAAACTACACTGGTGGAAGGATGGGTGTTGTAACAGTGCCTGACTGAAACCCAATTATGAACAGCTTTGTAAGGATCTACCTCATGGTGATTCAAAAAAAATTTTTAATAAAATAAAAAATAAATAAAATGCTTGGACCCCACCCGATGAGACTGTGTTGGGGGACAATGGTGATGGTTGGAGAACCATATGTAGTGCTGGGAATTGTACCAAGGCCTACCACAGGCAAAGCATGTGCTCAATCCATTAAGCTATGTCTCAGGTCTCAAGATTAAAATTCTTATATTGGTAGACTGAATCTTTCCAAAAATCCATATCCAATTTACTTGCCAACTAATATCCTATAAAATCCCCATCTCAACCTGGTAATTTAAATATAAAGTTGGGTAAAAGAATCTGTGACAGATATTAGCATCTTCAAAAATGTTTACTAAGGGGCTGGAGTGATAGTACAGCGGGTAGGGCATTTGCCTTGCATGCAGTCGACCGTGGTTCAATTCCTATGGTCCTCTGAGCACTGCCAGGAGTAATTCCTGAGTGCAGAGCCAGGAGTAACCCCTGTGCATTGCCGGGTGTGACCCAAAAATAAAAAATTAAATTAAATTAAAAAGTTTAACAATTATTCTAGTATGAGGAATAAGGAACTAACCAAATAAGGGGCCCACGAGATAGTAAAGCAAGTACAGCACTTGTCTTGCACAAGGCTCATGGGGATTTGATCTCCATCCTCACATATAGTCCCCTGATCCAGCCAAGAGAGAGTCCCGAGCACAAAGCCGGGAGTAAGCTCTGAGCATAGCTGTGTGTGACCACCACCACCCCTCCAAAACGCCTTAACCAAATTAGCACAATGATTAGCACGAGTGTAAGGGTTTTAATTATAAAAATACCCTAAATATCCCCCAAAACTACATAACTGAAATATGATTTTAGTAGTTATCACAAGCATCACATTTTTTAAAACACTGTGCTGAGTGTTTTACATGCATTATCAATCATTTCATTGATTTCTAAACCCTATTTTACAAAGTAGTCAAGTAGTATCTTTATTTTGACTTAGTGAAAAATTATTATAGAAAAGTAACATCTTTCTTAGCATCCTTCAAATAGTAACAGGAAGTCATGCAGTGTTGAAGTCAAGCCCAGGGCCTCATACATGAAAAGCTCATGTCCTTAACACTTGAGCTGCCATATCACCAGCCCTCCCAGCTTCCAGCTTTTACAAAAATGAACAAGTTGATCCTAAAATTATTCTGGACAGACAGGTAGCCTAGAGTAATCAATATAATCTTGGAAAAGAACAAGTCCAATTCATCACACTTGCTGGCTTAAAATTTAAATACAACCAGTTGATCTGCACAGACTTGGATGAGCCTTACCTATAAGCAAATCTGCTAAAAAAAAAAAAAAGGTATGTGAGACTTGTGACTGAAATCTCCAGCATCAGACCAAGTTGGAAATAGGAGACCTTCCCCCATCTCCCTATGTTTCCGGTAGCCTGGCAGTCACACCCAGAAACTGCCTCTGGTGCCATATAATCTCATTAACAGCCATGATTCAGAGACTCAGAAATAAGTCTCTCAGAAGAGAGCACAGAATGATACACCATAGAGATGCCTCCAAACCCCAAAGTCACCATCCAGTAAAAAAAAATAAATTAATTAACCTCAGCTATATAACTTTATTTAAAATTTTAGAACTCCTGGGGCTGGAGTGATATCACAGTGGGTAGGACGGTTGCCTTGCACGCAGCCTGACCAGGGTTCGATTCAAGCATCCCATATGGTCCCCTGAGCACCGCCAGGAGTAATTCCTCAGTGCATGAGCCAGGAGTAACCCCTGTGCACCGCCACTGTGACCCCAAAAGAAAAATAAATAAATAAAAGTTTAGAACTCTTGGAGTGCGTGGCCACATTCTTTTATAAAAGCTTAATGGCTCCAGGGTGAAATACAACAATCTTCACATACTTTCCTCTAAGGAAATTTTTTTGGATCATTTTTAGTGGATGACTTAGAAGAAGCAATACAAAATAAATTATTTAGCCCTGCGTTGGGGGCAAGAGTTGGGAGTCAGGGTGGAAACATTTGAAATATGGTAGTGGGAGTGGTGTTGGAATATTAAATGTAACAAATTATTGTGAACAACTTTAGAAAAATAAATTTTTATAAAAATAAAAATATTTATAAAATAAAAATATAAAATAAATTTAAAAAATTTTTAAAAATCGTAAAATAAAAATTTCAATACAGTTTCTTGCTCTGTTGCCCCAATCATATCACAACCTATGATTACTTTGTTTCTTTGCTCTCTCCCTCTCTTTCCCTCTCTCTCTCCCTCTCTCTCTCTTACTCTGTCTTCTCTCCACATTTTTCTATATAAAACTACTTCACATTTCAATACAAAGCAGCGTGGTATTGAGAAAGAATGAGAGACGTCAAGGAGTGAACACAGCGTCTCACACATACAGCCAAATGCTTTATTGCTACACACATCCCAGCCCAAAGAATAGACTTTTCAACAAATACTGCTGAGACCGTCGGAAATCTACAGACACAAGTATAAAGAGAGAGTCCTACTGTACATCATAACTATTTTGTTTGTTTGGGGGGCTCATCTGTGGTGCTCAGAATTTACTCCTGGCTCTGAACTCACGGATCACTCCTGGCAGGCTAGGGGGACCATATAATGCACTGGGAATTGAACCTGGGTCGGCCACATGCAAGACAAGCACCCTACCTGCTGTGCTATCTCTCTGCCCCTATACATCATGTTTTAAAAAATGGATCAAAGACTTAAATGCCAGAGCCAGAATTATGAAGTTCCTGGAAGAAAACATAAGTGCAGAAGTCCCCAAAAGTTTCGGAAATTCTGATTTTATAACAAACCAGGTCCTTGAATAACAATGTTTCATTCAACATCAGTGAGAATTTCTTTTTCTTCATCTATGTTATATCAAAATGCTATTATTTAACAATTTGATGTAGAAATATTTCTGACTTTGACTTAATAATTATTTAGGGCTGCCTTTCTTTCATTCCTTTGTTTTGTTGGGAGGGGGTGGAATTTCACTCTGCAGTACTAAGGGAGGAAAGCTATTCCCAGCTCAGCTCAGAGGTCATTCTGGCAGAGTATGACAGAACAGCAGAGTGAACAACTGACTTCAGAGCTCCCACGTGCAAAGCAATAAACTGTTTCTTAGACAGGACACCGAAGGCACAAATAACCAAAGAACAAACAGTAAACTGAACTTAATTCTTTAAATTTTTTGGGGGGGAGGGGAACATGCATATTTATTTCACATCTCACCTACTGAATAACATTATTTACTTTTGATAAGAAGCAATTTTATTTACAACGAAACCCCACACAGTACATTTCTTCTTAATGAGAAAATGATCATCATGATGAATGCTCACGCTATAAAAGATTCTAATAATAAGACAAAATCTTGGTTGGCCAGTAGATGTTTCTACTGCAAGGGTTGCCTAATAGATGTTTTTATTGCTCTTTTACAACTGTCTGCAGTCAGTTCTTAGCAGATCTTAATCAATCTGCTTCTAGGAATCCTGATACATTATTTCTTATCTGCTGCTCATTGTAGCCTAGGGCAAAACTCAGTGCTGCCAGAAGTAAATGAACTGTTTTGATTGATTGATTGATTTAGCTTTTTGGGTCACACCCGGCGATACACAGGGGTTACTCCTGGCTCTGCACTCAGAAATCACTTCTGGCGGTGCTCAGGGGACCATATGGGATGGTGGGAATCGAACCTGGGTCAGCTGCGTGCAAGGCAAACGCCCTACCGGCTGTGCTATCTCTCCAGTCCCAATGAACTGTTTTTAAAATGTTTTAGATTGTGTCTCCAGTGTTTATGAACAGGCATACAGCACCAGTGGGACATGGATTACTAGTGTAGAAACATGCTGTTATTCGGTTTATTTACAAAATGTAGTAGGGTCAGGGATTAATTGGTAGAATACATGTCTTGCATGTATTTGATGCTAGGCCTTGGGTTTGAGCCCTAATACCAGACAAACACAAAAAATATTCAATTATGTAGTTAAAAAAGGCAATATTTGGGTATATTTAGTCCAATTATGGAATTTTATTTACATAAAAAATTTC